GATAATTATATAAAATAAATATATATTAATTATTATTATATATAACAAAAAATTATATTATATAATGTTTTATATTTATTTATGATGTAATAATATTATTAATAATATTATATATGATATAATAATAAATGCATATAACAATATATACATATACAACGTATAAATCGTTAATAGAGTATTATTTTGTACTTAATAATTAATTATTCTAATTTATTCACAATTCTAATTTCATTATATGCAATTATATATAATTTATATATAAAAATAAAAAAAGAATCTTAAAATAATAATAATCTAACAGTCGATAAATATGTTTGCGATTGTATCTAAAGGTGATCACTCATGTAACTGCAGTTGAATTCTATATTTAACCTGTATGTACTGTACATAACCTGTAAACTAAAAACTACTCATCTGTGATTAAACTGTGTTATTTTTAGGTAAACAATTAAAGTAAAAAACTAAAGATATTATTTTTAATATAATAAGAAAAAAAAATATATAACTTTGAATATCAAGAATTATTCAACATTTATTACGTAAAGTATAATGTAATCATATGATTTTATCTGGCAATCATATTACGTGAACACGTAAGTAATTACAGAAATAGCTAGTGGTATCTGTATTTTAAGCATGTGAACAAGTTTTGACGTAAATATTATTATTGATTTTATGATCCTTCTATAACCAATGGATGGAAAAGATAAGAGAAATCAAAATAATTAACATATTTCACTAACTTTTTATTAGCGACACGTATAATACACGTGTTTAACATATTAATATTTTATAACAAAAATAATTACAACTACAAATCGCACAAAATTTCATATCAAACTAATATAAATGACATTTTATACGGCCATGTACTTTATTTGCACAGATATTTCAAGCATTTCTATTTTAATTGCCGCATTTTTATCGTGACAAATATTTAGAAATGATATAATTTTTTAACATTTAAATGTTTCAAAATTCTCTTATAATCGAATGATAAAATTTGTACGATCAGACATTCACAATTTTTAAGTAGATATTGATACCTTTGGTATAATTCAATTAGTTATAATATCAAAATAATATATAGTTTTTTCCCGTTTTCATTTCTTATCTTATGCATTAAACCTGAAAAAACATTTTGTTAAATATGATATCAAATTTTAATATATAAAATTTTCTAAAGTAATATATTTTTTATTCAACTTGTGAATGGGATATGTTAGGATTGATACCAAAACTTGCAACTATGTGTATCTATAATTATTTATATTATTATAAATATCAATTCATAATAGAGCTTGATCTATTTTTTTTTCTTTTTTAGATAATAGATAATTATCTTTATACAAGTAATAACATTATACAAATATGGTATCAATTCTATGAAAAAACAATGTTTTCCAGAAGAATTTCTATGCTACAATAATTTAGCTGGTCGTATAACAATTATATATTGCATAAATAAGATGAACATATAGAATAATTTCTTTTTTTACTTTAAACATCGACTATTCTTTGTGATAAATACATTTTTTGAATTTAATTGACAATCAGTTAATACTAAGAATACAATTAGTATGTCACACAAGTTGAAATTACATTCAGATCATATAATATAAGACAATATTGTTCTATAATTCTATATAATCATAATAGTCTTTTTTGATATAATAATTAACTGCAATTATTAATTTTTATAGAACAATACAGAAAGCGTAGTAATATATTAAGCAAATATTTATCTGTTATTCTTTTATTCTTATTGATATCATATAAAATCGTAATTTCATAAATGAAATATTCCATTGGGTAGTAATAAATATTGAAAAGGACTACAAGTGCACTTGCCCATTATATCTCATAATTGGTATTTATAGTTCTCTCGTTAAAAAACGAGACATATTATTAATACGATATTAAAAACAATGTTACGTTCTTTACAATTGGCAGTGATAGCTCTTATATGAAATATTTTACTTACTTATAGCAAACCGTATAAATGTATCTACAATTTTACGAATCAACAACTCTCGAAATAAATAATTTCACTCGAGTTTCATTGATTTTACAATTTAGTTTAGTTTTATATTACTTATATACGTCATTTCTGTGCAAATATTTTTTTACTTAACATTACAACAATAATAAATAATCACGCTTTTTATAAATTTCCCTATAAATTATTCGAGAAATTATTTCCTCCTGTTATAAACGATTATATTAATGAATAAAAGTATTAAATAAATATCTATCTATTCCATTTACATTTCAATCTTTTAATAGTTATTTTACAATAAACTATAAATAAAATTATTAAAAATGTATAATTATGTATTTTTTAAATATCCCTCCATTAAGAAAGTACCTATCAAATCGAAGAAGATAGATGTCGCAGTATCGATACTCGATTTAATAGACTAGCACATAGTGTCATCTAGTTTTAGTGGAGTGAGAGTGTACAAGAAATTTCTTTGAAATTCATTTCTTCGATTATTTCTTTTGGTAAGTTTGGCAAACATTAAAAGTTTTTATAAAATAATGATTATTCGTGATATTTTTAAGATAACATAATTAGAATACTAGAATTTTTCTTTACGGATCAATTATAGGATTTATTGTTGCTGGTGTGATTGGCGCTTCATGCTGAGTGTCGTTTAACACAAATGTCGTTGTGGGCTCTTCCCGCGAATTTTGTGCAACTTTTCTGCTTCCTGGAGGAATATAAGTCCACCAAGCCAGGAAAAAGAAAAGAAGAGATGCTGCTTTGCCGATGAAAGCTAATGCTAGCATATATCTGAAACAAGGTATGTTCATTGATTTTTGTACGATTGTAAATGCCTGATTTTGCATGATGAAAGTGAATTTTTAATAAAAACTTAATATAGTTTACAACTCAATTACTATAATTCTTATATAAGATACAAATAGTAATATTTGCATTACAAAGTATTATAAAATAATAAATCTTAAATTCTAATCGTTAAAACCGCCATTTTTATTTCAATTTTATTTGAATGAATGTTCTAATCTTTAGTGGCCATTAGTGAAATTATAGAGGACGCCATAATCAAGTGTGGAACGATTTCTACAGATATAGAAATAATTAAACGAAGATATACAAGCATGGAGGTAGTTTTATTTTATAATTTTTTTGAATAAGTAACAAATTCGAAAGTATTTAATACGATTTAAAGATTCAAATATAATTAATTTTATAATTACCTGCTCATGTATAAGTTATCATAAACGAGACAGGATCCTTCGCCGTCGCAAGTTTTGTTCCATAAAATGCATGTTTCATCTATGAGAGCACCGAACACCATAGGTGCTGGTATTGTGCCTAAAATTCTAACTTTGATCCATTGTATACCTAAGGCAAACGATCTTTGATCGTCTCGAACGACGCGAAGTGTCGCGGAAAGTGCAGGCATTGTGCAAAGAAAGGTTATAAACATGTTGCAAAATGCTAAAGCGATAAACGGCCATAAATAAGAGCATGATGTGCTGCAAGTAGTGTTTATTGCCTCGTAACTAATCACACTATCTGCAGTAGTTAGATTCATTGGTGGTGCTCGTATGCACGTGCAGTCTGTATATATCTGTAAAATAATAAGGAAAAATATTAAATAAATTATTATATAATTATTTGGAATTAATCTTAAAGATTCATAAATATGAATTTTGTGCTTTTGAAATTTGTTAGAATTTTTATCATTCTTTGAGCTCAATATTTTAATTTCGAATTTTATTTCATAAAATTGAAAATCGTTAGAGACAAGTTTGTAAATAAAAATGTAATATCCCATTGACTTTATGCAAATCATAGGTTTTTGAAAGTAATTTTTTAATATAATGATTATAGTTATAAAATAAATATAAAAAATAAAAATAATTTTAATAGTATTTTAGATAAATTATGAGAATAGAAACATTTAGTTCAAAGAAAAATAAATATTTATGATAAAATGTAATATCGATAAATATGATTATATTGACATATAATCAGTATTGAGCTTCATTTTTTTTTTTTTTAATTTAATGACTGATAATTTTTAACTGAATATAAATATTTATTTCCGATTTGCAATGAATATAAATTTTTATAAAATATATACATCACGAATTCCAAAGGTTAAGAAAAATATTTATTTTATGATTTCAAGAAATGGATTAGACTTTCATAAGCTTGCATAAGTACGATAAGAAATTATACTGACTTCGACGTTATTTAGTCGCATTCCTTGATAACATCCTGCATGACAAGGGGAATAGTACGTGATTCCATCAACTCCGCATATTGGACTGAACTCTGATCTCGAGCAGCCACAGCCATTATTGCACGTGTTATCCAATGAAAAAGTTTTTCTGTAAATATGAAATTTTTTGCTTATTATAGATATTTATTTGCATCTTGCAAATTTATTATATAATAGTTACATTATGGTCTATGTATAAATCTACTTGTTTCAAGTTTCTGATTTAATTTTCTAATTCTTTTCATTTTTAATTTTTATATAAAATAGTGAATTGACTAACTTAAATACATTTCAAATATCATTCAATAGAAATATCATATTAAAAATATGATTCAATAAAATGAAGCAGTGAATTATAAAATATTTGTTTTACAAAACTAAAAGTGATTATAGTATAGAAACTTTATTTATTTGAATGAAGTTTTAGTTAATACATTATTAGAAACCACCTATATAAATGTGAATTTCTCTTATTTAAACGAGAAATCAATAGAAATTAATAGATAGCAAGAAAAATCGATAAATTTCATTTAATATATATGAATTATATTTATACTGCAATGTAGAACCAATTTTCAGATAAATACGGAGTTTTATTATCAAAAGAAAGAAAAAACGAAAATTAATATCAGCACATATGAACTCGGAGATCTATTATGTACAGATAAGAATGAATAAAATCACAGACATAGGAAAAATGAAATAAAATATGAAATCCTCGATAAATACCATGCAAATTCGTGAAATAGTGTCATATTTTCCCAGAAATTTTAGCTTTAGAGTTAATTATAAAATGAAGTTTCAAATATCCAATTTTATATTGTTGAAATTACTTTCACAAGTAAACAGAATTTCGCGCGTCCATACACATATATAAATAGCAATCACTTACTTGGTCTGGTTCGAATAAGGTATAGTGACTCCCGCAAAGTTTAAATTCGGACAATTCAGAACGAAGCACAAAGTGAAGGCGATGCAGGATGCGGTGGCTAGTAGACAGAACTTTAAAATGCCCGAGCAGGGCAAATTAAAACGCTTTATGAGGTAACCACCGAGGAAGGTACCTCCACCGCCTGCGGGTACAGTCACCAAACCTGCAAGCAAAAAGAAAAAAATCTAGGTAATAAAATTAGGATGAAAGGGTATCTCATTTCGAATAGCGTGTTCTCCTCTCGATGCTATCGAAATTTCACGAAAATCACGTCGAAACATTAGTCAATTGTAAATATTCCATACGAAATATAAAAACGTCGAGGATGATTTATATCTCGCGACATACGTGCGAATAATTGATGGTAACATATCGTTCAGTCGATATTTTAACGAAAGAGAGAAAGAGAGGGATAAAAAATGTTTCGAGAAAGGTATTTGACGAAATATCGTCGATGATTACGCGTTGCGATTGACGAGAGGCGCACGAGGTTGTTTCTCTCGTTTTTTCTCTCTCTCTTTCTTTCTTTCTTTGATTGATTACAACAGAATGCTTGAATATTATTCACCCATTAGTAACGCGGCGGAACTAGCGCTGACGTTGAATTGATTTTCGATCAGCTTGGGGAGGAAAGCGGCGAAACCGGCGATAAGCAATCCTTCACTGGCACCTGCCAGATTTAACATGAAAAAGCCAGGATTACCGAGCAGATCGGTCAGGGCGCGAGGCAGTTCTCGTATTTTCGAGAATGCCTCTCCTCGATCGCTCGAGGACGATTGCTTTCTGGTGCTCCTTTGGTGCGCCTCTGACACCCTCTCTTTAGCCAATTTCTCTGAACCTGAAAAAGAGATATTTATTCATGTAAATTTGTGTGGATAGAACTGTTATTTGAACGTATATCTGAATGATTGTAATTTGAATGGAAATTTGTAAATAGAAAGATCTATAATTATTAAAGTTTTGTTGATATTGTGTATTGTTTCAGTGTAATTTTGAGATTATGCGTTGGATATTATGAAATTCCTGAAACAATAATTTAAAGAATGGTAATCTTATTATATAATAGTGTGTGTTGTAAAATATTTCACAATTCAATTACCAGGCAAAGCTGCTGGAAACGCTAAGATGGGTATAGCGATTATGAAACATAAAACTGCAGCTGCTAGGAAACCTATCCACCATGCTCCCACCCATACGTTGCTGTTTGGTGTTAAGCCAATCCTGGAAATTGGTTCCTTAAATTATTACAAACACTTTTGCAAGTCAGACAAAGTCGTGAATAGAAAAAGAATATTTATTCACAATTATTAAGTGCTATATATTAAATATTATTTCTTATACAAATTTTCTATTCTCAAAAATTATTTTAAATCTATGATATATTATCATGCTTTTTAAATTTGAATAAGGATTCATAATTCTTATTTTATTATTTATCCTTATTTAAATCAATTGTTCTTTTGGATTTGAAAATTTGATGGCAAATATTTTATCGTTCAATTGTGGAGATCTCGAGTTACTCCATTTTGATTTAATCTTATATTTAACTTTTGAAATTCTATCTTTTCAAATTAAGGGGAAAAATTGACGTAAAAATTCTTTTAATAACTCCGTCGATCTCCACGTTAAATCAATCTACGAATTACCAATATTTAAACGGAAACAAGTTGAAAGTGCTGCGTCTCTAATATCGCGAAACGGGTCAACCCTATCTTTTTTAAACGCTTTAAAGTAGGCCGCGTAAAACAAATAAGAGTTGGGAAGGATATAGCCGGGGTAAAAATGTAATTATCCCGGAACAGTAGAGCGGATTGTAGTTCGTACAACACGGTGAGTAGGCCGGAATTGCTTCACCGTCGCGGAACTTCCGGCGCATCTCGCCGCGGTTTTTTAATTGCGCCAGCGAGAAATCCCCTTTCCGAGTCGAGCTTCTGCAACTTTTCCGACTAATTGCCGGTTACAGAGCTTCTGGAAGCTTCTCTTTTTCCTCGGCCTCGATGATTCGATATCGAGGAAAAATTTCTAATTTTAGAAAAAAATATATACGTGCATATAAAAAGAGGATGATGAAGATTTTTATTTTGAATATATATTATTTTCTATGGGTTTTTATTATTTTTTTTTAACGAGAATATTAACTAAATTTATAAATAGAATTCAAAGACTTTAAATTTTCCAAAATAGATTTTTGCACGTTCATAAATTTTGCGTTTAGAAACATTAAAAATTTAACGATCAAGTAATACTTTCCATATGCTTTCTAAATATGAAGATAAAATACAAGAATGCAGTTTCTGCATCCAAAACCACGAACACAATACTCTTCAATCCTAGTCGCTCATCATCCTCTATTACTTTGCACAATGCGCCATCATCATAATCGGGAAAATTCTTTCAGAATCGGGATATTACAGCGGCATAACTTATCCGTAATAATCTCGAGATAGTGAAAAAGCGGAAAATTGTGAAAAAGTATCCAAGTTACTCGAAATGACTGTCTGCCGTCGAATCTTGGTCCGCTAAATTAAATGAGGCGCGTGCATGCAGAGAGGCGAGCTCGTAACCGGAAGTGGCCGTAATGCAACTAGTTACCCCATTCTTTTCCTTGCTTCCGGCTTCGTACACCGGAATAGCGGAAGGAAATGTAATTGGACTCGCGGGAAATGTTATTAGCTCTCCACAAAACGTTCGTTTCTGTTTCGTTTTATTAAAGATCGCGAAAGGATGAGGCAGGTCTCTCTGTTTGCAAATTATCGGATTGCGGCTGCTTCGACACGCAATTTAAGTTTCGCTTGGAAATCTCGATAATCTCTTGTTGCGAGACAGCCTTTAAACTTTCGCCGTTTAGGCGTTACGATAATCGAATTTTAAATTGAGGATTAGGGGGCTTTTATCGTGAAAGTGCTTAATCTTAAGGGCGAAGAATGTTGTTTGATTAATGGAGGGGGTCGTTTAGCGAGGAAAATTTGATACTTTTTGATAAATTTCTATGGATTGAAAACGTTGAATGATTTTGTATGGGTTTTATCGATAAATATGAGATCATATTTTGATTAATTTTAATTAGAATAGCGATGAAAATTTAAAAAACAATATACATATATAGAATCATTCCATCGCATCTCTTCTCAATAATTTTCGATTGAAAATTTAATAAATTTTTATAGATATGAAACAATATGTCTCATAATATTAATTCATTAAATATCATAATATAATAAATCATTTAAAAATAATTCATGTCCACAAAAGAATTATTAAAAAATTATATTTTCTTCGTCTTTTTCAATTTTTATTTGAAACATTCTTTCTCGTAATTAATATTATTATAAACTCAATTAAGATATTAAAAATGATTGAGTCGATCTTGTTTACTTAATAGATATAATATTTCACGTTGAATCGATTCGATATGACGGACAAGGACTTTTTTTTATCGATTGACGAGGCAGAATATTCCTAGCATAGGCTTTACGTAACTTTTTTTCTCATCAAAGTTACCAAGGCCAATGGATCTCATTTTTTCCCTGGTAAAACCTCGACTGCGAAGAGGTGATTGATTGCCCGGAAACGGCTGACTAACTGCGCGATCATCCCTTAGCAGACTAACTGCACTACACCGAAGGAATCGCCGTTTACTTACCCTCTTTTTCTCTTTCGTTTTTTCCCATAGTAACTGATCTTTAAATGACGTTCGAGTAACGTGACTTTTCGATGTTGATTTTACTCGTTGACAATGGATGCGACGAAATTGAAAAGGAATTTCTGATCTTTAGAAAAACGAAGACAAGAATACAATTTTAATAATTAATTTTATCGATATCTAACAAACAAATTATTAAATTCCCTATTTTATGCAAAAGTAGAATTTTTTTTAAAAAGAGAATCATTATTTTCCATCGAAAAAAGGAAGAAATAAAAAGAAAAATATAAACGACTGTTAGATTCCTAGATTATTTTACGAAAATTTCCCTTTCCAAATAATTTTTCAATAAAATTTTCGCGTTTCCAAAGGAAAAAAAAAAGGTTTATTAATTAAATGCTTCCAATTCCGCAAAAAACGTTCTCTACCGTCCCCATGTTTACATCGATTCATTTCTAGGAGTGGAGCTTTCGAATAAACTTTCAAAAGAAAGTTGCAAGGGTTCTAAATTTACTGATGTCCACTCGGTTCCTCCGTAGAATCAGTTAACCGTGAAACGCGAAGGGAAATCCTTTCGACTTTTAATTTCAGTCCCCATCCTAACCGCTTCTTGCTCCATCTTCGTCGCGTTGCTCGTTGCTTCTTTTCTTTCCCCTCTTCCTCTTTTGTCGTTCTCGATGTAAGCTGTTACCATAATAATTTCTTGGCTCCTCGAGCTTTAAAAGGGAACAGGCTGTGCCTCGATTTATTAATCGAGAAAAGAAATAGAAGGGAAATGATTGCTCGCGGAATGTTTTGACACTCGAGGCATTTAATCGGTGAAAGAGACAAAAATGGGAACAAAGGAACGAAAGGATTATTTATTTTTTCGCGCTTTCTTATTCCTCGAAGATAAATTTTGTCGAATAAAAAATTTCGAGAAGAATTACCTTTCATGGATATTTTAATGCGTAGTATTTATATCGTGATATTAATATATAAAATAAATATCATTTTTGTAAAATAAGCTATTGCGTTTGTTAGCGTTGATAGAGGTTTGTTTATTTAATACGTACGTATTGCAATAAATATAAACGTATTGAAATTAAATCCAATAAATTAAAGAAAGTTATGCGTTTTCGCATAAGCTTTTAAATTGCTTTTTAAATGGAAATCAATTAAAATAATTTTATAAATGGAACGGATTCCTATAAAAATTTGCTCGAATAAAACCGTATCAAGTTTATTTATTTTATTCGTGATATCAATCTCCTCCATTTCTTATTAATACTTTAACCTCTTTTCGAAATATCGAAACGAATTACGTGACATCAAAACTCTTCTTAAAATCATTCGTATAACACGAATAATAATAAAAAATGTACTAATCCGATATAAAAACAAAAACTGGTAATTTTAGAAATAGCGACATAAAAAACAAATAAGAGGAATTTCAGCTCGCGATACCCGACGAAAAAAAAGAAAATAATCAAGAAAGGGCCAGAAAACCCGTCTCTCGAACCATACCTCGAAATCGATATCCGGCCATTTAAAAGTAAAATTCGCAAGGATGGAAGCCCTCGGACGTTGAAAAAATCCTTCACACGATCGACAACTCGATTTATCGTTTCTATGCTTGCTGTTACACGTCACGGTTCCAGAGAAATCAGGAGGACGAAAAAAAGAAAGTGAAAGGGAAATTAAAAAGAAAAAAAGGAAAAAAGGAAAAAGACGAGAGACGAGATTAATTCGATTCTCGCGTGGTGGGGTGCGAGGGGGATGGGGGAGGGGAGAGGGTTGCTCCGTGG